ATTTCTAAGCAAAGTAAATTTTTTTTATATCAAAGTGGTATACATTTATATATTTTTTTTAGCCCCCTCACCTGTCTTCCTGTATTTAGTACGAGGCAAGGTTATCCCTCTTACATATACAGCCTTTGTAAAAATGCTAAAACAGAACTTATCTAGGTTGGGTTATGACAGCAGCAAATATTCGGGACATAGTTTTCGCAGAGGAGGGGCCTCCTTTGCCTTAGAATGTGGGGTTCCAGCTGATCTCATACAATCACAGGGTGATTGGAAATCTAATGCATACAAATCATACTTGGATCCTTCTTTTGCACACAGACAGGAAGTCATGAACAAATTTGCAGTTGCCCTGGGGAAATAATAAACCATTTAACCTACCTTCTACTGGTTACACCACACATGTTTGGGAAGTTTGGAATACCACAGATTATTAATTAATTAATTTGTGTATTGTTTTCAAACTGTACTGTTGTTTGTGTTTTATTAATATGAAATTTAAGCATTAAACTGTGGTTCTTTTCCCAAACATGTCTTTGTTTTACACTAGTAACCATCTGGATTCACAGGTTTCCTGACTGGATTCCGATCAGAGTTAGACATTAACATGCATCTGATCTGAGACTGGTCTAGATTCCAACAGCATATATACACATACACAGGGGGGAGGGAAATGGGTGGGGCCGTTTTCAAAGTGATGTGGATTAATCAAGTTATTACTTCATAACCCTTACAGAAATGAAAAGTTTGCTGCAATATTGCAACAATATAGCGGCAATATTGCAGCAAACAAATTTGTTTGCAAGAAGTGTTTGCAAGAAAGTTGCAGGTTGTCGCAGCTACCTGCAACATTCTCGCAATGTTACTGCAACAAAATTTGTTTGCAAGAAAATTGCAGCAAGTTTGCTGCAATGTTGCAAGAAAGAATTTATTTGCTAGAAAGTTGCAGGAACCTTTTCTTTTATTATTTAAGGAATGACTTTTTGCAACAACTTTGCAAGAAAAGTTTCTTTAATAATGTCAGACAATCAGATAGTTTGCACCAATATTTCAAGCATTTTAAAATATTACATATGATTATTTGTTTTTAGATTTAAGGTTAAAATAATACACAACATATTGTTTCTTTGAATATTTGGTTATGGATACTTCTAACTATCTAAATTTGTTGTCGTCATACTTTATTTTACTCAGAAATATCTGGATATTTGAATAATTTATTTTAAATAAATCTTCAAATAACAATGCTTATATTTTTAGAATTCCTAAACTGTACATCACATTTATATGATATTTTGTAAGGAAAGAATTTCAAGAATACTTTGGTATTTATTTCAACAAGTTTAATCTAAATAATTGAGTCATAATAATTTTTGTTCTACATGTATTATTATGCCTTTTTGTCACTTTTTTGTGACATTTTTCTATGAACAATATTTTTAATTCTAATATTTTCCATCAAATGAATTTAGCCTCACCTGCAGGTTGCATTTTGTTTAATTTCTAGTATCATTATTTTAAAACTATGTATACACAAATTACCTTTCTCATCTCAATTAGTAATATGAGCTGGTGATAGAAATGTAATGTGCCATCTGGTTTCAATTTATCTCTGTGTAGTGGTAAAGACAGGAAGTACCATAAATTAATGTACACAGAGTTTGAGGCCAAATTAAGGGTAGAGCATTTCTTCTTTGTATATATTTCCATTATAACTTATAACATCAAAGATAAACAAAAATATATATATATAATTATTTTTTTATTATAATATATAACAAATATTCAAGATTTAGGCAATTGATATTTATAATTAGGGGCAAATTTCAAAGGGATCACACTGTCACAATACCCTAAGCAACCTTGATCAACATATTCAAAATTTGAACTGGACATGAACATGCATACAACAAACAAAGATGTCTTCTATCATGAACAAAGTAATACGAATTTTACAATGGATTTAGATCCAAAAGTTCCAATTAATTCTATTGACACTGGATAGTGCATATGATAGCCTTCAGTTGACATGACTCTTGGATTTAGGAAGATTGGTGTTTACACATAATTTGGATAACATCTTTTGGTAAGTACAATGGAGTTGAATGTCCACCATTTTGAATAAGTGCTTGCTCTTACAGTTCAAAATAGTGATATTCAAAGAGTTTTCTTAACTTAATAGAGTTGACAAAAGTATAAGACAATAGATTTATGCACATGAATATTATTAAAATTGTGTAAGACAGGAGATATTTTTTTAAATCTATTTAAGACTATATGTTTTAGAAAGTACATTACTTAAATTGAAACAAGAAATCTTCTAATAAAAGCAGTTTGGTATTAAATTAGAGATCTGTGATTTGACTGCCAATAAGAGGTCTTTCAACAAATGGCAACAATATTTAGCTTTTATATATACACAACTAATCACAAAAATTTTAAAGAATAGACAAGACCAATTATGTTATAGTTCAATGAAAAACAAATATTCAAAAAAGCAATAACAACCTAGTACTGGCATAAGGTTAAATGTATAGTAATATGCAATTTCTAGAAGGACTTGATAACTTTTAGACATATTGACCCTTTAAGTCAAACAAATGCTGGAAAAATTGGTCTGTAATCATCTCTTTATAAAGAGTTATTTTCATTTTACAAGTCCAGAATTTACAATATATAGTAGTAACTTATATCTTTATATCTTTATAATGTTTAGTTATTCTTTTAATGTATGCTAAATTCTTCAACTTTTATTTTGCAGTATTTGAAATCAGAAAATTCAACTTTAAGGACAGTTAGTACAGAGAAACAGAACTAAAGGATACACAGATATGTAACACAACAACCTATAGAGGACAGAGAAAATTTTGTTTTATTATTAAATCATACTTTTTTAAATGCTGTTTTTAATTCCTGTTTTTTCAACTGAAATTGTTGAAAGATTTGCTGCAATATTGCTGCAATATTGCAAGAAATTAATTTTCCTGCAATATTGCTGCAACATTGCAGCTAATGAATTTGCCGCAATATTGCTGCAACAATCATAGCTACTGATTTTCCCGCAAACATTTGCTGCAATATTGCCGCAAATTGTTGCGGCAATATTGCAGCAACTGTTTGCAAGAAAACTAATTTGCATACGAAAAATGAATATTTGCAGCAATATTGCCGCAAATAGTTGCAGCAACATTGCCGCAAATATTTGCAAGAAGCCTTATTTTTCCATAAGGGAATCTGATCGATCCATTAGATGTGCAATAGTGAGAAAGTGTTTCAACGGTTTGCTCATTCATCTACAACTTTAACCCACATTTAAAGGATAAAATCGACTTTTCTTAAACTTTCAAATAACCTTAAGTATCTTTCGACATTGAGTATCATTTTTTAAATTTCTTAAGTTTCTCCAATTGAAGAATGGATTTTAACATTTCTCATTATATTACTGCTAATAAGATTTAATTGTAGCTGAACTTGCATCAATGAATCTTGCAATTTGGTCAATATTCAAGGACTCAGCATCAGTAAAATGCATTCATTTTCTTTTTTTAACCTTTAAGAAATAAAGTTAAAAGCATACAAATGTCAGATCTCATTATGTAAATAAATATATTGTATTATAAGCAAAATTTTCCTCATCAACTTTGTTTAAGGTTTGGTACAACAAGATTTGACAATAAAAACAAATAAAACACATAAAAACCACTAAAATAATATAAAACCAAATAAAATACAAATCTTGTTATAGCAAAGCCTTATAAAATTTACTTGAATGCTACAGTGGTAATATATTATAGTCTTAAAGTAGAATTTATTCTGAATTCTTGTTAATGTTATGAAAATTTTGTCATAATGAAATCCAACTATTAAAATCAACATTAAAAACAGATTAAAAAAAATAAAAAATATTCAAACCAACCTATCCTTCACAATTGTTGTATGAGATGCTTCCCAAGTTAATCAAAATGTTTAGAGAAGGTCCATTCATTTCAATTTGGAATCCAAAAATTTCATTATAATAAAAAGAAATACACACTGCCATTAGTTACAGAAAATAATCTGAAAGTTTCAATGAAAACCTTCCAACAGTATATAAGCTGTGTGTGAGAGATGATGATGAACAAACAGACAGACAGACAAATCTTCTTTAACAGCCCATAACATGCTCCTCTCGAGTGTACAAGGTCATGGGATTTGATACCCAGCTGGGTCAAACAAAAGAATTGATAATTAGTATTTGATGCTTCTCTGCAAAGCATGCAGCATTTAGGAGTAAGAGCAGAGACTGGTCAGCTCGAAGTCAGAATAAAGTGTCCTGGTATTGTGACATGTCTTCCTGTGGACTATTACATTAAAAAAATCCAGATCAGCGTGCTGGTCTAGTACAAAGCAGGGTCTATACTCTATATTCATATCACACTATCATGTTATCCTGAATATTCATTTAGCCATCTATCCTTCAAAATGAAAGAAAAACTTATTTAACAGGTTCCTGAATAATCTTCTTAATTTTTAAGAAGTTGAGCACAATCCTCAAAATCAAACCTTAAAATATGTCCTTGAAATATAAATAATGATGAATGAGAAAAAAGATAAAAATCAATCACATAAAAATGAAATATTAATAATTACTGCAAAAACTAATTATTTTCACTTGAGTGGCCCCAGATGTTGAATAATACATTAATAGTATATGAACAAAACCAATAAATAAAACTGATAGCCATCAATTTGAATAAATGTACAGAAAGTGGAGTCAAACCACACCAACCAATGGTTTAACCAAACTCAGTACTTAAATTGTATAATAGGGGATTTTTTTTTATATTCCCTTTAGACATGTTAGAATTTGGCCATCAAAGTCCTACTTTATTGGTTTCTAACAGACAAAATTAATTTCACAAAGCACTTGTAAGACTAAGATGTACATAACTTCAAAAATATACCAATATGTAAACTGATGCAAGTCTTATGAGTACTTTGTGAAAACATATATGGCATACCTTTGGGACCCCTCAAATAACAATAATTTCACAGTTTTATATTTCATCAATCACAATACAATAATTGAATGCAAGTAAAAATAATGAAAAATTTGGATCACTCAATACAGAATAAAAAACAAAATTTGTTAACAATTCATTCTTCTGCTTACAAGACTATATATACTGTCTACGGGTTCTACTAAAAAGATAGCAACAGTTCATCAGATGGTTAGCAGGAATAACGTCTGAGGATTTTACCATACCAGGCAGCAACAGTAACACTTTCAACTGAAAAAGAAATAAAGTTAAATTTCAATTGTCAATTCTTAATACTAAAATGATTTTAAGGGGATATAATCAAATTTAAGTGACAATTTTAAAATCGAATTGACAGGCAGGGGTAAATCCAGGATTTTTGAAAAGGGGTACAATTTTCTAAAACTGTATATAATTTTTTGGATGATTTTATTCTAAAAAAAAATCATATAAATCATGAGAAACATGAGATTTTAAGAAAATTTATGACATAGCCCATTTACTGTAACTTGACCTTAACAATCACTTGAAATGTCTAACAAATTCAGAAGCTGCTGAAAAATTGATTACCTCTACCATCTTCATACTCACATAATGAAAACATAAAATTAATATCTATTTTGTTGATTGGATGTTGTTTTATAGACACTTACTCCAAAATTTGTTTTCTCTATGATAAATTGTAGGAATAAATTCTTAAGAAACTTGTAATAAAAAAAAATGCAAGACTGAATGAAATAAATTCTCATCCAATTTTTTTTTTATGACACTGGTTTACCCCAACAATGGAAAGCTAGGTTATCTCCCCTTCCTGATGGGTAAAACATTTATCAATGAGAAATGAGGCAAAGATTTAACATAGGAAGCTGATTGAGAAAGGATATATAAACCTGCTGAACTATAAATGGATCTGATTTACTCTAAAAGTAGAAGAAAAAAAATCTAGTATTGAAATCTATGATTGATATATAAATATTAAGGGTCATTCACCACAAGATAACTTAAATAAATTTTAGTTGTTTGTTGATGAATAAATTCTCACCTTAAAACAGCTCTAATTACTACCCATCAAGTAACCATATGGAAACGTGATGCTAACCTGGAATAAAAAGTTAACGAATTCAAAATAGTACTAGGATAACAAAAAATGTTCATGGAAAAAAATATTTGGTATTAGGAACATAAATTTATAGCTTAAAATTTTAAATGTATTTCATCATATTGGATCACTTCAAAAATCCAGAGCAATCGGTACTAAAGAAAATATACTCATTTTACATTATATATAATGTTTTAGTACTTAACAAGAGGCTGTCAGAGTGACAGCAAACCCGATTTTCCTGCATGAAAATGATATTTGCAAATCTGTACCCTTTAAACAGGATCAAGAAAAAAAAAATAAATGTATTTTTGTAGGGTTCAGAAATGGAAATACCAAAATCAATCTAAGTATCACTTTTCCCTACATAAAGGTGTACAACTCAACAAGGATAAAAGCTAAAATCGTGAAAATCAATTTAGACCTTCATTTAGTCACAGGAAACAACATATCTAAATTTGAAAAGATTTCGTCAAAGAGTTTTCAAGTTATTGCACAGACAACAGTTTAAGTACCACTTTTCGCTACTTAAAGGTCTACAACTCAACAATGATAAAAGCTAAAATCATGAAAATCAATTTAGACCTTCATTTAGTCACAGCGAACAACATATCTAGATTTGAAAAGATTTGGTCAAAATGTTATCAAGTTATTGCACGGACAACACTCTTAAGTATCACTTTTCGCATCTGAAAGGTCTACAAATCAATAACGATAAAAGCTTAAATCGTGAAAATTGACCTTGACCTTCATTTAGTCACAGGAAGCAACATATCTAAATTTTAAAAGATTTCGTCAAAGCGTTTTCAAGTTAATGAACAGACACTGTTTGGCAGCCGCCTGTCCGTCAGACATCCCCAAACCAATAACAGATTTTTCCTTCGCAAATCCAGTTAATAAAATTGATGTCAAAGACTATTATTCCAAAAAGTTTGAATACCTACCAACATGTTAACAGTATCAGATATCCAAGTCTTACTCCTAACACCATGAAAACATTGTCATTACAACCTAAAAAAAAAAAAAAAAAATATATATATATTATTTAAAGAAACTTTAACATAGTCATGCTGTGTTTTATTTCATACAAAATCATTGTATATTATCATCTCCAATATATAAACTTCATACCAAAGGTAGAAAACAAAAAACACATCTAATACAAACGATTATGGTTAATATACTAAAATCAAAAATATGTGATGGATGATGTAGATACCACAAAATCATACACTGATAGAAAAGAACCCTTAAGAAAAAGATAATTTTAAATGCCTATAATAATATGATTACAATAAATTTGGTGGAATTTTTAAACTTACCACATAGTTTTCGTGGTAGAGCCTCAGACCTGGTTAAAGATTTAATTGACCATCTTCCTTAGAGCTGCTTTCCTGGCTGCCAAGGTGGCTTTCCTCATTGCCTTAATGTCTATCATTATTTTTCCCTATTGTTTTAGAAGTTAAGTTACATATATATACAAAATATCAGATGCACTTTCAATTAATCAACTTTTTTGAAAATTTCACCGAATAATTTGTAGTGACCCATGATTTCTCCCACCCTACATATCTATTATCTAGAGCTCTGCTTACATTTTTTTTTTATTTACAGAGCTCTAAATAACAGTCAATATTAGCTAGTGTACATCTGATATTTAAAAAAAAAACTCATACAAATGTGAATATTCAAGTAAATAAAGTTATATATTCCCTAACAATGAGGAAATTTTAAGAATGTGGAGTTAAAACAGGGGTATAATAAATTACCTCCCTTTGACATAAATTTCACCCTGTTACTACTCAACATCAATGCTATATCTAACAAAAAATACAATAAATGGTATAATAAAAATTAAAAAATAATATGATAAATAAGTAGTTCAACTACTGTATTAGTAACCTGTCAAAACTGAGGTTGAGAGTTCAAACCCAGCATGTGGTAGGTGTGTTTGACTCAAATCTTAATCGACTAGGATAGCCATTTTTCTGTCTGAATTTGGTGGTTCTCTCCCGTTTCCCCAACTTCCTCAACCAATAATAAAATTGCCACCAAGATATAACAAATCAGACTGAAAGTGGTGTTTCACACCAACAATCAATCAATCAATTTTTTTTCACCAAGATGTTCCTGTACTATGCTTCTATTGAAATAATCTTAAATTTTTATAGCTTAAAAATCAACTAAAAATAACAAAAAATTGGAAAAAATATATATCTAACAATTCACGAAACATAAAAAATACATTTCTATAAAATATTTTTTTTTTTTTTCTTTTCTTCTTTTTTTTTTTTAGTTTCTCCATTCTAAACCTACTGGAAGTGTTTTAGGAAAAGAAATAGAAATTTTGAAACTTAAAAAAAAAGTTAACCTACAACTTCCATTCTGGTTGAAAATGGAGAATCTTTACACATTTTGTTTTTGTAAAAAATTATAAACATTTTCTCAATAATACACAAAAATTGTGTGAATTACATTACTGTTACAGTTATATCACACAATCATTTTAGGCAGCCACAGTAAAAGTTACCTGTAAAAGAAATATACTTTCTTAAACATATGTCAAAACTATACAAAAAATGAAACAATTTTTAATGCAAAAGAATAATTAACTGGGCATTATAATTCTCATACATATAACATTTATTTTACTTTGTTTTAAATTAATGTTGTTATAAATTTTAAACTACCTGTCTTCATTAGCAAAAAAGGATAAAAAAACAAGTCATTGGTTGATTTCTGATATATTTTTTTTCCTTCATTGTTTTATCATAAATCAGGATGTTGGTTTTCTCATTTGAATTGTTTCACATTTTGTCATGTAGTAGACTTTTATAGTTAACTGTACAGTATAGGTTTTGCTCATAAAAAGGCAAATGAAGGCCATACGGTGACCTTTTGTTGCTTACATCCACATCAATTGGTCTCTGGTTGATAGTTGTCCCATTGGCAATCATACACCATCTCTTTATTTTTAAATATATATATATACAATTATAAACTTAAGAAAACATTAAAATGTAAGATGTACATCCGTGCATAATAAATATTTAAACCATTTACATGCTCTTGGATGAAGTTCATTATATAAAACTAAGCATTGGTTCTTACCATAAAAGTCAGCTCCAAATACCATTCCCAGCCTCTTTCCTTATGGACAAGCTGTGATGCTAACCTGAAATATAAAACACTTAGTGACTAACATTCAAAATTGTTTAAAAGGATCAGTGTTGGTTTACTGTATCAGAGGCGGATTTAGGGGGGGCCAGGGCCCCCCCTTTTTTGGGAAAAATTTGGTTGATTATATAGGTAATCACTGAAGCATGACTGGAGCGGTCCCCCTCTTAGGCAGTCAGTGGGCCACCTACTTATGAAAATTTCTGGATCCGCCACTGTGTATGCATGTATATCATGAGGAAAATGGGTTATATATATGTAATAGATGTTGAGAATATATCAAAAAGACTGCAACCAAATAGCCCAACAAAATTTTACATAATTCAGATCCTTTAATTTACTCATATAAGAGGGTAGCAATGCCCTTTCTGTCATTTTTGCCTACCTTTAGCGTCAAATTGGTTAAAATTTTACTGTGATTCGTCAAAATATCCTTATCGTGATTCGTCAGATTTGTCAGAGGTCTCAAATTATTATTGTTACCGTTGTTTTTGGAAAAAAAATTTAACGTGATTTGTCAAAATCCGTCGATTTTTTTATCGTCTATAAGAAAGTGTACATTTTATCGTCATGCACCAAAAATTACCATTAACGTCATTTGGCAAGAATTTTTACCGTTATTCGTCATGAGATACCCCCATTATGACCCTCATATAATGGTACTGATAAAAGAGTAAGACTTCTGACCAAACTCGTATAAACCTTCAAGCCTTAAGCACATACTATGTCCAAATAATAATATAATAATTGGGTTTTTTTTCAAAATAGGAAAACAATACTGGTACCTACCTATATATTAGCTGTGTAAGACCACCAAGTCTTATTCCCACACCATGAAAACATGTCACAGAATTAACCTAAAAAAGAATCAAAATTATAACATTTTATATTTTACAAAAGTAATCCATTTCTCTGTCAACAAAAAAAAATACTAAATATTGTTCTGATTTCTTAAAACATTGACAGAATAGTATAACATCAACACCAGTCTGTGAAATCAATATAAAAGATGGAAAAACATAATTTTATGATTTGAATTTCAACTGCACAAAAATCATCTGCATATTTAACAAGAAGTTATCTCCCATTGAATAAAAAAATACACTAGTAATGTATTAGTTTTCCCTTGAAGTTTAATTTACTATTGCTATTTTGATGGAAAATCTTTTCATGTACCTGGTATCTTAAAATATCAAACTGGTAAGTTCTGTCAATCTGATTTAAAATCAGGCAGTGGTGAAAACATGACAAACAAAAACCCACTCAAATTAACATTATTTGAAGTTCAAAATGTATAATGGTGCATGAATATAACATTCGATTGCTTCTGTTCTGGTGTTTCAAGATATTTGGTAGAAATGCACTAGAAATTAACAATTAAGGGAAGCTAACTCGGTAATTTGCGATCATTCTAACAAAAGTTAACTAGAGAATTCTCGAATTACCAGACATGCAGAAATGAATTACCTACCATTTCTAACTCAGGACAAGGATAACTTCAAAATGGGATGGTTAGGTCAGCAGGTTTTTTCCGGCTAAGTTTTGAAATTCTCCTCTTAAAAGACTGACACTTAGTCAATGGTGTTTTGCATGCAGAAAATAAGGATGCTGTTTGTCGTCTTAATTTGCACTTTTTATCACATAAAGGTATAGATGGAGAGTTATCTTATTGGCACTCATACCACATCATCTTATTTCTATAGACATTGTTTGGCCGAAATAAACTTGCCTTTTTATTTTCTTGGTACAGCCTCAGACTTGGTTGAAGACTTAATTGGCCATCTTCCTTGGAGCTGCTATCCTTGCTGCTTATATGCTTTTCAACATTGGTGTTATGCTAATTAGTTTACTGAATCTATTTTATCCAATTAACTAAATGTCCTTTGAATCCCTTGTATTTAATAAAATAAACAATAGTCATCAGAATGTTCCAAAGCATATCACAATACTTTCTCATGGCAATTGGAGTAATTCTCAATGTAAAATACAAATAATTTTTTAAATCAATTCATAAAATACTGTAAAATTACCAGATGTGCTTTAAACAGGTAACTTTTACATTTTCTTTTATTTACAGAGCTCTAAATAATAGCTAATATATCAGTTAGCAGACATCTGATATGTGAATACTTATACAAATGTAATAAAAATAAGACAGTATTGTTATTGCTTAACACCTATAAATTACCAACATTTTTTCAATATTTTGAAGCATAGTTTAATAGAATACCACTTCTTTTAAGATTTACTACTCATGCACATAGGTGTGAATGTGTGCTTACTTCTCATGGTATAGTAGTTATGTATATTCTAAAAATTGATCAAGGCATCAAATAGCTGATTTGTGCATATTGTTCTTAAACAATGCATATGGAGAATGGTCTATACTGAAATTTAAATATATGGAAACATAAAATGTAAAAATTGGAAGATGATGCTCAACCTCAATAGATTTGCAAACTCTCTGAAGTTCCAAAGATATGGGTTAACAAGAATGTGTCTATAGTACATGGATGCCCCACTCGTACTATCATTTTCTATGTTCAGTGGACCGTGAAATTGGAGTCAAAACTCTAATTTGGCATTAAAATTAGAAAGATCATATCATAAGGAACATGTGTACAAGTTTCAAGTTGGTTGGACTTCAACTTCATCAAAAACTACCATTGACCAAAAACTTTAATCTGATGCGGGACAGATGGACAGACGAACGAACGGATGCACAGACCGAAAAACATAATGCCCCTAGGTGGAGCATAAAAACAAAAAATTGTTACCATCCTCTGTAATTTTTAGATGAAAAATTAATAAGTTCCCAAGTCAGAAAAATGGGAA